ATTCTATGGGAAGCAAGGGATGAGATCGCTGGGCCTTTGGCGATGATCTTTTCGTCCTCACTGTCCACGGGTAATAGTGCCGGAAGATTGGAAAGAGGCAAACGTCATTCCCTTGTTCAAAAAAGGGAACAGGGATAACCCCGGAAATTACAGATCAGTTAGTCTTACGTCACTGGTGGGCAAATTATTGGAAAGGGCTCTGACAGACAGGATTTATGATCACTTGGAAAGGCACAGTTTGATTCGTGATAGTCAGCATGGATTTGTGAGGGGTAGATCATGCCTCACAAACCTTATTGAATTCTTTGAAGAAGTGACCAAACACATGGATGAAGGTGGAGCAGTGGATGTGGTATACATGGATCTAAGTAAGGCGTTTGATAAGGTTCCCCATAGTAGGCTCATGCAGAAGGTAAGGAGGCATGGGATACGGGGAAATGTGGCCGATTGGATTCAGAATTGGCTGACCCTTAGAAGACAAAGGGTGGTAGTGGATGGAAAATATTCAACATGGTGCTCAGTTACGAGTGGTGTACCACAAGGATCTGTTCTGGGTCCTCTTCTATTTGTGATTTTTGTAAATGATTTGGACGAAGGAGTGGAAGGGTGGATTAGCAAGTTCGCGGACGATACGAAGGTGGGTCACGTTGTGGACAGTGCGAAGGGCTGTTCTAGGTTACAAAGGGACATTGATAGAATGCAGAGCTGGGCTGAGAAGTGGCAGATGGAGTTTAACCCTGAAAGGTGTGAGGTGATTCATTTTGGAAGGACAAACTTGAAAGCAGAATACAGGGTTAACGGAAAGATTCTTGGCAGTGTGGAGGAGCAGAGGGATCTTGGGGTTCATGTTCAGTTCCCTGAAAGCTGCCACCCAGGTGGATAGAGTTGTTAAGAAGGCGTATGGTGTGTTAGCTTTCATTAATAGAGGGATTGAGTTCAAGAGCCGTGAAGTTATGCTCCAGCTATACAAAAGCCTGGTTCGGCCACATCTGGAGTATTGTGTCCAGTTCTAGTCACCTCATTACAGGAGAGATGTGGAAGCGTTGGAAAAGGTGCAGAAGAGATTTACCAGGATGTTGCCTGGAATGGAGGGAAGGTCTTACGAGGAAAGGTTGAGACAGCTAGGGCTTTTCTCTTTAGAACGAAGAAGGATGAGAGGTGACTTGATAGAGGTGTACAAAATGATCAGAGGTATAGATAGTGTGGACAGCCAGAGACTTTTTCCTAGGGTGGAGGTAGCTATTACAAGGGGGCATAGTTTTAGAGTGGAGGTAGATATAGGGGAGACGTCAGAGGTAGGTTCTTTACTGAGAGAGTGGTAGGGGCGTGGAATCATTGCCGGAGAGGGTAGTGGAGTCGGCCTCAATAGGGGCATTTAAGCAGCTATTAGATAGGCATATGGATGATAGTATAAGGTAGCGGTAGAGGTTAGATAGACCTTAGGTTTTGGGTAAAAGTTCGGCACAACATCATGGGCCGATGGGCCTGTACTATGCTGTACTGTTCTATGTTCTAACACTTCTTCAACCATAATCCTTAGCATCTGTGCCCCACAAGGCCACGTACACAGCCCCCTACTGTACTACTTATACATTCACGACTGTGTGACCAAATTCCATCCCAACTCCATTGCTGAGTTTACTGAACGACACCATTGTTGTAGGTCAGATCTCAAACGACGACGAGGAAACAGAATACAGCCAAGAGTGTGAATGCTAAGCAGCATGATGTGAAGACAATAATCTCTCCATCAATGTCAGCAAAACGAAGGAGCTGGTCATTGCCTTCAGGAAACAGAGTGGAAGGTATGCCCCTGTCTGCATCATTAACGCTGAGGTGGAGATGGTCAAAAGTGTCAGGTTCCTGGAAGTGATGATCACCAACGACTCGACAGTTAAGAAAGCACGGTAATGCCTCTGCTTCCTCAGTAGGCTAAGGAAATTCGGCATCTTTCTTACCAATTTTGTTTTATAGATGCACCATATGAAGCATCCTGTCCGGATGCATCACAGCATGGTATGGCAACTGCTCTGCTCAAGACAACATGAAACTACAGAGTTGCGAATACAGTCCAATCCATCACACAACCAGCCTTCCATCTACTGAGAACTGCCGATGCTGGAGTCAGAGATAACACAGTGTGGAGCTGGAGGAACACAGCAGGCCAGACAGCATCAAAGGAGCAGGAAAGCTGATGTTTCGGGTCGGGACCCTTCTTCAGAAATCTCCATTTCTGAAGAAGGGTCCTGACCCGAAACATCAGCTTTCCTGCTCCGCTGATGCTGCCTGGCCTGCGTTCCTCCAGCTCCACACTGTGTTATTTCCATCCACTGAGTCCAGCTATTACTTCCTGCTGCCTCGGGAAAGCAACCAACATAATCAAAGACCCCTCCCACCCCAGTATACTCTCTTCCATCAGGCAGAAGATGTAAAAGTTTTAATACACATAAAATAGATTCAAGAGTAGATTCTTCCCCATTGTTAGACTTTTGAATAAACTTCTCAAATGTTCATTCTGATCTCGCTGAACCTTCTCTGTGGCTGTAACACTATTCTTTACTTCATTCTGCTATCCCGATGCACTTTGTATGGTATGATCTGCCTGTATAGCAAAATAACACTTTTCACTGTATCATAGTACGTGACAACCACAAATCAATATTTTCCTGATAAACAAATTACTCAAACAAACAAATAGGGATTACAACCTTACTACTATGCAAGATAATCTGTACCTGTTTAACTCTCACACATTCATCCAAGCGTAAAGCAGACAAAGCAGATAGCTTGACATAAATATTAAGGGTGGAAAAAAAAAGACATGGAAAGCAATTTCTGTAGAAGTCCAGACGACAAGGATGGAGAGTTATTTCTCTTAGCTCTTTTGGTTAATGCAATGATAACACAATGATCAACTAAATTTCTTCTAAGCAGTGGGGGAATTCCTCCCAAATCACAACTCAAGTCACCCCTTCTGATACTGTTCACTGTAAGCTCGGATGCGATTCTATATCCAAGATTCCAGAAAATGGTCAATTTTTTACGTACAAACCCAGATCAAGAAGATTGCTCTCCCTTCTGGACATCACAGCCTTGTCCGATTTCCAAACACAAGCAACTTACAGCACACACCATAAACAGCAGTCCGGAAAAGCTGATGGGAAACCCTGTCTGCTGTCTCTTCCTTGGTTGAATAAGATTGTGAGACTACAAAAATAATACCAAGGACTGATTTGCTGAGCACAGCTAATGTTACTCAGCGTATCAGTCAAACTAAAGTCTTTTTGGTCTCTGATTTGCTACTTTAGTTTTAGAACAATGCTACACCAGTGATTACATTCATACAAAAACGTCTCCTAAAAATTCACAAGCATATTATCCATAAAACACATGAACAATGTAAACTTCCTCGCAGAGCTGGTGTGTTGGTTGCAGACGTTTCGTCACCCTGCCAGGTAACATTGTCAGCGTGCCTCCAGTGAAGCGTTGGTATTCTGTCCCGCTTGTTATTTGTATGCCTCAGTTTGCTGGGGTGGTTGGCATTACTTCTGGTTCTGTTTTTCAATGGTGTGTATATCAGATCCAGTTCAATGTGTTTGGTGATGGAGTTCCGGTTGGAATGCCAGGCCTCCAGGAATTCCCTGGCATGCCTCTGTTTGACTTGAGCTATTATGGATGTGTTGCCACAGTCGAATTCGTGCCATTCTTTGTCCGTGTGTATTGAGACCAGTGAGAATTGGTCGTGTCTCTTGGTAGCTAGTTGGTGTTCGTGTATCCTTATTGTCAGTTTTCTTCCAGTTTGGCCTATGTAATGTTTTTCACAGTCCTTGCGTGGTATTTTGTATAATACGATAGTTTTATTGGTTGTGGGTATGGGATCCTTTACGTTTGTCAGTGGATATCGCAGGGTGGTTGTTGGTTTGTGGGCTACCCTGATACCTAGGGGTCTTGTGGTCATTTCAGATATGTCTCTGCTATACGTCTGGCCGTGTTGTGTTACCAACAGGCACGACCAATTCTCATTGGTCTCAATACACTTGGACAAAGAAGGACACAAATTCAACTGGGACAACACATCCGTAATAGCACGAGCCAAACAGACATGGCAGGGAATTCCTGGAGACCTGGCAGTCCAACCGGAACTCCATCACCAAACACATTGAACTGGACCTGATATACAAACCACTGAAAAACAAAGTAATGCCAACCACCCCAGCAAACCGAGGCATATAAATAACAAGTGGTTCAGAACACCGACGCTTCATCGGAGATGCACTGACGATGTTACCTAGCAGGGTGACGAAACATCTGCATCCAAACACACCGGCTTGGAGAGTAAGTCTACATCCCCATCCACAACCCGTGCTACAATGCTCCTCAAAAACTTTAAACACATTAATGCTCTCCAGACTGTACCAGCCAGCTTCATAACCTGAAAGCCTCTTGTGCCTTTACTTTACTGGTTTCACTTCAGACAAATCAGTGCATAATATAACAAAGCACTAATAATCCATCACGACCAACAACGCAATTGTGTGGAAAACCAAGGGGGTGCTACATTATCGGGAATACTCACTTCTCAAACTAAACTGAAGTTCAACCTGCCTGTCCAACAACTACCCCCATTACCAAAAGATTAACTAACTGTCAACCTGGCTCACTACTCACAGGCTTTTAAATACAGGAAAAAAAACTGCCAAATTTACTCCAATAGCTCACAATGTTGTGTACTATACTGCTCCCAAGCTATTTCCTCAACCACCACTTCATTGTCCACTCCACCGTACTCTCCCTCAACTCTTCACCCCCAAATCCCGCACTCTCATCTCTCCCCGCACCCCGCCACTACTTTATCTCCCTAAACCCCTCATTTCCCACCCCTTTCTCTTCCTACATCACCCCAATTCCCAAAACCAATCCCTCCTCTCCCTAATCACCCCTCTTCCCCTACTCCCCCATCCCCATCCCCATACAGGCCTCACTCCGCGGCCTCTCCTTACCCTCCAGACCCGTAGATAGTCTCCAGAGGTGGCGAGCAGGTCGGGGTAGACGCCCTTGGTGTCGGGGATCCACATGATCTTGGTGGTGGGGTACGGATGGTCGAAGGTGTTGCGGGCGATGAACTCGGAGCTCTCCTCGTCCAGGCCCACGATCTGCACCTTGTTGTTGTACTCCTCGACGAAGGAGCCGAGCGCCAGGCGAAACCGCTTGTCGGGCCGCACGCTCCAGTTCATGGCGTACACGGTCCATGGCGCCTCGTACTTATAAATCTCCTTCCTCTTGCCGTGCATGCTCATCTTGGGATGGCGATGTCAGGCCGTGCGCTCGGAGCCCAGCGCGGCCCAGCCTCGCTTGCTCACTCTCACTCTCCCCGCCGCCGTGCTGCCCTGGACCCGGGCCCCACAACAATAAACCGCTCAAAGTCACAACGGAAACCGGCCGCTGACTGACAGCCTCTTTCACCAATCACAGTCCGGCATTGTCCCGATCGACAGTACGAATAACCATTCCGGTATAGGGACGGGGCCGACTTTTGGTATCTTGGCTTTGATTGGTAAAAATGTTAAAGCGCCGAATGAGTGACATAGAATCTACCCAGTCAGACTCAGCTGATGAGGCGGGAGCTGACTCCGTCCCGGATTGACAGCTGTACTGACTAAAGGATTCTGGGAACCTGATAGGCGGTTTTTTTTGTCCGTTGCTGGATTAGTTTTGAACCATCTAGCACGACCTTCAGCTTGATTGACAGGGGTCTCACCAATCAGAGTGAGCACGAGAGGCGCAGGCCCAGTGGCTGATTAGATAATTAGCGGGCGGTTATTCATTGGGACGTTGGATTCGAGCGCCCTACACGCTCTGATGGGCAATGAAGAAAGCCAATCATAGGGGAGGCTTGGGGAGGCGGGCTTTCCGTGTCGCTAGGCCCGTATTGAATGACAGACGTGCGGACCAATCGAAAGCAGGGTCCCGGCTGGATGCCCTGTGTTTGACCCCCGTCACCCTCAGACCCACAGTGGGCGGATGATCATGATACAATGTCCAAATTCCCGCCCAAACCCACTCAGTGGAGAGCAAACTCTGCGTGGGATTCCCCAGAGGTCATTCTGGGTCAGATGGTGGTCATTGTCTCTAAACTGGGGACCCACACCGTGACACCACCCTCCCAACACATGCCCATCCTGGCCTTGACCTTCTCAATCCATCAAGGCAGTCACCAGCAAAAGCTCCCTCTCCCAACCTCTCTCCATTATATTCCTGACTTGTAGATGGTGGACTGGTTCTGGGGACTAGAGGAGACCTGACTGCACGATTCCCGACTCTTGTATCCATTGACTCAATAAGGCTAGTCCGGTCAGGTTTCTGGACAACGGCAATTGGAGAATCTCTGTTGGAAATGGTCATTGCCAGTCATACAAGTGACACAAACGTTAGCTGTCACCTATCATCCAAACCTGAATGAAAACAGAGAATGTTTCAGTATCTAAGGTGTTCAACAGTGCAAAACAGCCCACTTCTGACTTTTGGGGAGAGATGACTGTGGATGAAGAAGCTGGGGTTAGAACACTACATCATAGAAATCCAACAGCACTTTCCTTGGGCTGTGGATAAATGGCCAACAAGCCCAATCACCTTCCTTTGTGCTAGTTATGACTCCAAGTAGCGGAGAGATTTTTCTAGTTCCAAATGACTTTAATTTTACTGGCAATTTCACTCTCACCTCACTTCTGGAATTGAAACTTTTTTTTCTATGTTTCGCACAAATCTGTAATGAGGTGGTCCAAACAACCGAAACTCAACATTGATTAACAGGTTAGTGTTGGATAAGTACTTACAGAAACAGTCAATTTCAATCAGTTTGTCGTTGACTAAGAGAAAATTGATGGGATGATAATTGCAAGATTCAATTTACGCTGTTTTTTGCAGATGGAAATTACTGGACAATTTTCTTCCTTGTCAGATAGTGCCAGTATTGTACCTGTTTTGGAGCAGCTTGACCAGTCTTCACAAATCTGGAACGTGACTCTTTATTTCTACAGTCAGGTTGTTGTAAGATCCAATAACCTTTGCTGCATCCAGTCAATTAAAATGTTTCTTGATTTCACGTGGAGTGAATTAAATTGGCTGACAACTGATATTTGTAATATTGGGGATCTCAGAGAAAGCCAAGATGAATTGTCCACTCAGCACTTCTGGCTGATGATGATAGCAAATTCTTCAGCCTGTCTTTTGCTCTCATTTGCTGGCCTGGACCATAGTTTAGAAGGTTTTTGGAACTTTGTCTTAGAACATAGAGCAGCATAGGAACAGGCCCTTTGGCTCACAATGTCCATGCTGACCATGATGCCATTCAAATCCCACCTGCCTGCACATGATCCATATCCCTCAATTCCCTGCATGTTCATGTGGCTAAATGTCTCTTAAATGTTGCTATCATATCACCTCCCCTAGCATCTCTTCTTGTTACATAAACAAAGTTGCTGGAAAAGCTCAGTAGTTCTGGCAGCATTTGTGAAGGAAAAAACAGAGTTAATGATTCTGGTCCGGTCCCTCCACAAAGTGACTGATTCTGAAATGGCATAGCATGGTACTCGGTTGCACCAAATTGTTACAGAAAAGTCAAAAAGGAATAAAACTGGACTGATCAAAATAGACTGAAATAGACACCAAAGATAACAGCATATTTAGTCCTGCCAACCCTGCAAACTCTTCCTTACAATTCCATGGTTTATGGCAAATTGGGAGAACTTTCCCACAGATTAGAATTTCTCATCATTCATTATTTGAAAGGTGGAACAAATACACCAATGTTTGCCATACACGATCAAAACTATACAAAGAAAAGCAAAAAAGCCGTTGCCTTTATTTCTAGAGGGACAGAGTTGAAAAGTAGGACAGTTACACTGTGATTTCAGATGATGTCATTGAGGGGCAACTTGTAGGCGACCAAGGATTGATCCTTGCGGAAATAATAGGAGTGATTACAGCCTCATCGAACTCGCTGCACCGATTCATGATTGCATTTGGGCATCAACACCATGTTTCCACCTGCTCTCCACATCCCTTGTTTCCCTGAGATGTTAAAAATCCATCTATCCTAATTTTAAATATATTCAACAAAGGAGCATCCACATTGCTCTGGAATACAAACTTCCAAACATTCATAATCCTTTGAGTGAAGTAATTTTTGTTCATTGCAGTCCTAAATGATTTCCCCTTATTTTGAGAAGATTGCTGTTGTGTTTTAGATTCCCTGCCCTGAAGAAACAATGTCTATCCATCAAGTCCCTTTCTAATCGTGGATGTTTCAATGAGATATTTCTTCTAAATCCCAGACAGTCCAATTCTCTCAGCCTCTCATCATAGGACAGCTTACATATTCAAAGGACCAGTCTAATGAACCTTCACTGTTCTATCTTCAATGCGAGCATATCCTTCCTTAAATATGGAGACTAAAACTTCAGTATTCCAAATGTAGTCTGACCAATGCTGTGTATAATTGTAGCAAGATGTATTTATTCCTGTATTCCACTCCCTTGGTATAAATACCAACATTTCTTTTACCATTCTGTTTGCTTGCTTTACCTGCATGTTAACATTCTGATCATTGTATGTGCATGCCCATGTCCCTCTGAATATCAATATTTACAAGTTTCACATATTTGAGAAAGTATCCTATTTTCGTCTTTGTACAACCAAAGTAAATAACTTGGCCCTTACATTATACTCCATCTGCCACTTTGCCTGTAAACATTGCTTTCATGACCATATCCTCCTCAGAGCTTATATTTCTATTCTATTTACTTTGTATTGCCAGCAAACCTAGAATTCTTTGTTTCTTCATCTAATTCATTAGCATAGGTTTAAATAGCTGAGAGTCCAGCACTAATTTTTACCAAACTCCACTATTCAGAGTGCCATCTTGAAAATTAGTCATCTATTTCAACTCTTTGCATCCTGTCCATTAGCTGATAGTACTCTTAAGGAGTTCCAGGAGCTTCACCCAGGAACAATGATATAGTGCCAAGTCAGGATGGTGTGTGGCTTAGCAGGTCACAAGCCCCCAGATGTTAAAGTCACAGGGAGTCATACAGTATTGGTCTTTGCCCACCAACAAACACCAAACTACATTAATTCCATTTACCTGCACTTGGTCTATAGCCTACTATAGTCAGGCATTTTAAGTACTCATGCAGATGTTTCTTAAATGTTGCAAGAGCACCTACTCTCTCAGGCGGCATGTTCCAGATTTCTACCATCCTCTGGGTGAAAACAATTTTTCTCAAATCTCCTCTAAACCACTAACTCCTCAGCTTAAACTTGTGCCTTCTGGTCTTAGATATATCTGCCATGAGGAAACTATTCTCATGATCTACTCTCCCACTCAAAATTTTGTTTACCTCAATCAGATACCTCCTCAGACTCCTCTGCTCCAAGGAAAACAAATCCAGTCTATCCAGTCTCTCATCATAACTGAGACTCTCCATCCCAGGCAACATCTCCAGTGCAATTATGTCCAATTTTGTGATGACCAGAACTGCGCACAGCATTCTATTGGTGACCTGACAACTTTTTATATAGTTGTAACAAGTCTTTGCTCCTGTATTCTACATCCTGGTTGATGAAGGCAAGCAGCCTGTATGCCTTCTTCACCATCCTGTCTACCCGGGCTCACAGTTTCAGGGATCTATGGACTTGTATGCCAAAGTCCCTTTGTTCCTCAGTGCTCCCTAGGGACCATAGGGATTCATTGTATATATCCTTCCCTTATTAGACCTCCCAAAATGCATCACCTCATACTTATCAAACTAAATTCCATCTGCCATTGCTCTGCCCAATTTACTACAGTATCTGACTGTAGCCTGAGATCATCCTTCTCAGTATCAACAACACCAGCAATGTTTGTGTCATCTGTAAACTTACTAATTGTACCTTCTACGTTCACATCCAAATCAGTAATTTACATAACAAACAGCAAGGGTCCCAGCACTGACCCATGTGGTACACTGCTGGTCACAGGCTTCCAATCACAAAATCAACCCTCCAACATCACTCTTTGCCCCTTATTTGCAAGCCAATTTGCCAACCAGTCTTGGATCCTAACTAGCCTTGGATGCCATGGGCTCTTACCTTTTGGACCAGCCTTCCATCTGGGACCTTGTCAAAGGCTATACTGAAGTCCATGTAAACAATATCAATTGCACTACCCTCACCAATATATTTAGTCACCTTTTCAAAAACTCTATTAGACTAATCAAACAAGAACTATTAGTAAGGGATGTCTAGGGTTAATAGCGCTGGGTTTGCTATTGATCATTACTGTTCTATTCTTTTTAGCCTTTGTGGTGGTTTGATGCAGCTGAATGGCTTGCTTGGGCATTTAAGAAGACATTTAAGAGTCAATCACATTTCTGTGGGTTTGCAGTCCCACGTTGGCTGGATCAGGTAAAAGGGGGAGATTTCCTTTCTTGAAGGATATTACTGAGCAAGTTTTTTTTTAAATTTCAGATTTATTTGTGGAATTAAATTCCGCCAGGCAACATGGGCCTCCGGATTATTAGGTCAGCGACATCACAACCATATAACACCCCCCTCAAATGTTATAAAGTTGTAACATATATAAATAATTTGTTATAAATTTTAAATGTTGTGTATTCTACACTTTTAAGTATTCATTGAGCTTTCTTCACATTACTTTCAGCTTGCCATAAAAGGTGTGCGTGCACACTGGCTGCTGCATTTCCTGCAACAGTGAATACTTCAAAAATCATTGGTTTCAAAGCAAGCTGGGACATCCTGAGGATGGGAAAGGCACTGTATAAATCCAAGTATTTTTCTTCTTTTGCAGTAATTAGTTTGCTTTCACATTCTTGTTTCTGAAATGTACCCGAGTTTCAATTCTCTTGTCTACATTAGACCTGTTAGACAGAGAAGGCCAAGTCATCCTTGGACAATGTTAGGTCTCAGTTATTTGAGGGGCAGCTGAGCATTGCTTTATGTGTTACATGTAAAACACAATATTTATTTGGAGACTGCATAACATAGCCCTCTCATCCTCTCAGTGTGATGCAATATATAAGTTTGAACAAGATCATAGTTTGTGCCAAAAAACACATTATTGTAAAATATACAGATCACAATGATCAAAAGTTCTTTATAACATTTGACAGGAAGCAGCATATCAGAGATTAAAAAATGACAGTTAAATCCTCATTTTCAGTTTGTGCAAAACAGCTGAGGGGATTTTCAGACAAATGATCAGTAATGTTGTGTTCTTCCTGAACCCACTATAGTCCCGTAGACAATGCTGAAAGCTGGATACTGCTCATGTACAGTGGCCACTCACTGGTGCAATGCACCATCTTCACAGTGAGAGTTAGCATGCAAAGGAACTGAAGAACCAAGTTCAATCTTATTCACATTCACAGCTTCAGACAGCTTGCTGGATCTTTGGCTGAATGTTCCCTCCTCGAATCCAGAAGTATGGAAGCCAATCATAATGTGTTGACTAGCATTCTTAACTTTTAAATGGCACATCTATGATTAGGGTGAGGACAGGTCAGTCCAGTTGTGAGGGTGGCTTTTTGTTAACTTGTCAGATGTTTCTTAAAGAGACTTTATGAATGCCAGGAGTGACAGAGAATGGAATCCAGACATATTTAAGGCAAGGCCTCTGACAGGTGACTTTTTGAAAGTAACAAAATACAATTTTACTTGAAACACAGCATCTCCAACGGCGTAGCCCCCTTACTCTGAATTGTAAGTCTAGATATGTGTTCAAATCTCTGGAGTGGGAATTGAACCCTTGATCCTCTATGATGGTAATGGTGCTACCCACTAAATAATGGCTCGAACCTTATGAAGTAAATTAATTTGACTTACTTACTGTGAATGACTGGCCCTACTTATTTATTGAGTACATGATAGAGAGAGCTTTCTATCCCTCCCAGCACAAAGTATTCCCAGCACTGGCATACACATTATCATTGGCGCAAACTACAAAACAAAATGACAGGGCTTAAATTTATGAATAAATTATTGCAAATGTTGCTATTATTCAGGCTTACTTCCTCCAACTTTTCTGAAGGCTCAGGTTGCAAAAGCTGTCCCCCTTTATTTCTCTAACAGTGAAGGCTGGCATGGTAAGTTACCTCGGAGGATATCAGAGTCAGGTCCAAGCCCATCCTCAGGTGATGAACACACAAGGAAGTGTTTCAGCAACACAAAGCTTGGTTGATCTATATCCACCCACCCTAGCCTGGAGATGACCAAGGTGACCAGCAACATGTAACCGTCAGTCTTTGCTTAGCTAGCAGCACTCTCATCCTTCCATCAGAAGAATGCGGATTCAAGCACCACACTGTGACTCAAACACAGTCTAGACAGGGACACGAATGCATTACTGAATTTTTGAATGCGACATTAAGGCAAGACTATCTGTTCAGGTGAGTATTGAAGGTTTTAGACATGAGGAGATCTCCAGATGTCATAGCCCAAATATCCCTCACTGTTACTATCTCTCAAAACATTATGTTTATTATCTCATTGCTGGGTACAAATCGCCATTTGTCCACATTACAAGACTACGCTTCAAAAGAAAATCCCGTGTAAAGCGCATTTGACTGTTTCAGGCATTTTCTAAATGCAATCTCTAACTTTCATAATTGTCCCAAGCTATTGGAGAGAGGGTGAGATTAGTCAAGGATTTTGCTCCTGATCACTGTTCAACGTCCATGGGTTAAATAACAACAAAAATCAGTCAGGACTTTGAATCCATATCATAGCCATCGACCCCTCCTACTGTTCACTGTCCCTGTTGGAAACCAAGAACTGGACTAGATTGTGATGTCCCATGTAATGGGTCACCAACACGTCTATGAAGCTGTACAAAAATAATGGTGAGTGCTGTGGCTTGTGGAGCTGTAACCCAATGAATGTCTGCACCATTGGGGGCAGTGACAATGAAGCAGGATCAGAAAACACCATTAGTTACACAGGGAGGCACGGTGACACAGCACTGCAGCCTCACAGCTACAGGGACCTGGGTTTGATTTCACCCTTCGGCGAACATCTGTTGGAGTTTGCATATTCTCCCATGTCTGCACGGGTTTCCTCTGGGTGCTGTGGTTTCCTCCCACAGTCCAAAGATGTACAGATTAGGTTGATTGATCATGCTAAATTGTCCTGTAGTATCCAGGGATGTGCAGACTAGGTGGATTATCGATGGGAAAAGCAGGCTTACAGGGATAGGGTAGAGGGCGTGGGTCTGGGTGGGAAGCTCTTCAGAGGATCAGTGTGGACTCGATGGGCTGAATGGCCTGCTTCCATAATAGGGATTCCATGATCGGCAAGCACTGTCAAGTAATCACATCCTTTACTCAGTGGAGGGGTGTACTCAGCTGTTTTTGTCAACGCAGAGAAGAAATCACCATCAGTATCTTTGAAATAGTCCTCACTCAATCTCAACACAATGTTCAGCTGTGCTTCCCGATCATTGATGCAGCAGCCAATAAAGTACAGAAATCTCTCTCTTGCTGTCAGTCAACTTTTTGACTCAATATTATCATAGACTTTAATAACGTCCTGATATTCATCAATCAGTTCAATCAAGCAAAATGCTGCCTCCAAATCTCTGTCTGTTAGCTGGACGGTGGTTGTGGCAATAAACTCAGGCGCAGCAGTAACAGTCAGCAATCCCAGTGCATTCAACCTCTGTCTTACATCTCGTAGAGACGGTATGTCAGAAACAAACTGGAAAACAACAATAAAAAAAAACAAGATATTACAAAGAGTTCCCCAACAAGATGACAACAGTTTATACCTGTAACAACTGCATGGTGTAAGAATGATGTGATGGGACAAATCCATCATACTGTATGAATTCAGACAGATGACAGGGTCAGTCTCCAGTCAATGCTAAGTGACAAGATCATAGTGGTGCCTAGAAAGTGGGTCACTATCAGTTTATGGTCCTTGAAGCTTTTGCTCAAATCCAGCCCAGATACGTGTGATCAAATATTCTCTGCCCATCATAAAGCTCTGACCTTTGAAAGAGACATAAAACCAAGGCCCAGTTTGTGTTTCATTCACCTCAACAAGCAAAGGAGTTTTCCTGATGTTTATCTGTCAACCGTTAAAAGCAATGATATGATCATTTACCTCATGCTGTTTTTGGGACTTTGCTCTGAACCAATAGGCTGCTTTGTTTTCCTACAAAGCCTCAGTCACTACAGTACAGGAGCAGTAGCATTTACCGCAGATGGGAAGTGATTTGCATTTTTATATGAAATTAATATAGAGAGATGCCATCCAGTATTGGAGGCAAAACCCTAAACAGTCATTAATTGTGCTCCCCTGGCACAAAATTCTTAACTTCATTCAAAGACAGCAAAGAGTCCTGCTGCTAGAAGCACAAAAATAATCAATTTGATGCAGCCTTATTTCCTCTTCATTAGCTGCAGCTGAGGGAAACATCAGAGAAACAAAACTCTCTACCTACCCTATGCTGAATTTATCCTGGAAGTGTTTAATGGGGACAATGTAGAGGAAGCTTCATCTGTATGTAATCCCATGTTGTCAATGCTGGACATGTTTGTTGGCCAGAGAGATACACATGTCATGGATGGTATACGTCCGTCATCATTTCCACAATGCCACAGAAGAGTATGACTGACAGCACCCAAATTACACAATACCATTCTTCTTAAATTAAAATTTATAAAAGGCTGCATTCACCTTCAGGATCACCTTGTCTTCTTCATCCTCAGCCTGTTTAACATCCTCAGCCCCTGCTTCAATTGCCAGTTCTAAAGCACGTTCCAACTCAATCTGCTGACCATTGTTGTCCAGTCCATTCACTGTCACCACACCTTTCCTCTCAAAGCAGTGGCGAGCACCCTCACAGAGAGAGCCCCTAATGAGGTCAACACACAAAAATTTGTACACACCAACAGATGAAACTCATCCCTAACTTTCCTCCATTAACCCCTATGTCCCATCACTTAATTGATAACAGACATACATATCTTGTTAAGCTATCAGCACGTCCCGGCCCCACACTAATATCATGATGAGGGGGCAAAGTAACTACTCAGAAATTTGGGGTTTTATAATGATCAGATTTTGGCTATATATCATATACTTTAAGTGGCAGATTTAAGCAGGATCGGGCGTGCAGTGTGAGAACATAGGAACAAAAGAAATAGGAGGAGCAGACCATTCGATCCCTCAAGCTTAATCCTCCATTCAATAAGATTATGGCTGATCAAATCATGTCCTTAGCTTCAGTTTTCTGTCTGTCCCTCATAACCTGACTACCTTCTCGATGGAAAATCTGTTTCACTCAGCCTTGAATATACTTAGTGGCCCAGCCTCCACTGCTTTCTCAAGAAGAGAATTTCAAAGATTTGCAAACCTCAGAAGATATTCCTCATTTCAATCTCAATGGGGAGACCCTTCATTTTGAAATTGAGCCGTAGTTCAGAATTTCTCCATAGGGAAATGTTCTCACAGTTTTCACCCTGTCAAACCCTGCAAAATCTTAGATGTTTCAATAAGATCACCTCCCACTCTTCTAAACTCCAATGGGTGTAGTTAAAACTTGCTCAATCCTTCCACCTAAAGCAACCCAGGGATGAACTTCATAAGAACAGAAGAATTAGGATCATGAGTAACCCATTCAGTCCCTTAAGTCTGCTATGCCATTCAATAAGAGCACTGCTGATTTGACTGTAGCCTTAACTTTACTTTCATGTTTACCCTAATATCCTTTGACTTCCTTGTTAGTCAAGAATCTATCTACCTCTGCCTTAAAAACATTTAGTGACACTGCCTCCACTGTCCTCAGGAAAAGACTCAGGAATGTCTTCTGATCTGCCTCCAATGCAAATATATCCCTTTTTAAATAGGGAGACGAAAACTCCAGGTGTAGTCTATTGTACAAATGGCGTAATTCTGCTTCTGTATCTTATGGTTTTATGGACTTGTTCAAACTCCACTTCTAATGGGCCAATGTTTACTTTCGTAACTCTCTTTTCCGTTTACACAGAGGTTTTACTGGCTGTTTCATATTTCTTGCTAGTTTAATTTTCCCTTCTATTTTAGTTTTAGTCAACATTTAGTCATGTCTACAACGTCCCCAATCTTTGGAGGAATGCATCCTTTTTCTTTAAAGTTCTTAACTAGCTCCAGGTAGTGCATCCTTCTGGTGTGATGTGACCAGGATCAAGAGTCACAGTATCGAGGTGAGCAGGATCTGTCAGAGTCATTGACATGAGAACATAAGAACTAGGAGCAGGAGTAGGCCGTCCAGCCCTTCGAGCCTGCTCTGCCATTCAATAAGATCATGGCTGATCTTTTCGTGGACTCAGATCCACAGATCTCAGAGTCACAGCATCATGTCTATGCCAGCAGTCATGTTAACTTCTGAGAGAAGCAGCAGTGGCAGAGGAATGACCCTTTGGAAAATTACTTTCCAACCCCATCAGATAACTGAAACCAGTCCAGATCATCCCTCATCCTGTTTGTTTTATATTCTAAACCCAGAGTCCAGAGGTGAAGATGGTATTTAACATGTCCTCCACCCTCACAAAAGATTGTTTCTTCACCTGACTGATGTTGATTTGGGGGGCAGAATTAGGTCCTGATTGGAGTCCGTGAACCAATTCCTCGAAGATAGTCCCTCAGACCGTTCTTACCCATTTTTGTTCAGGATGTTTTTTATCTCTTGATGTGACCGGCTGTTGTTGTCTGTTAGAACTTCAATCAGCACAGATGATCCCCCTGGGCCTCTCCCTTCATACAATGAATAGGTTGAAGCCTTGGACTTCTGGAAAACCAGCAACATGTGGTGTTAATGAAAAGTAATACCACAGCTGAAACATAAATAACAAAAAGTAGCATACAGTGCACCATGTGAGTCTAATAGGAAGAATAGGGAGGGCCAGACTGGATCCGCAGTCTGAAGTGTATTTATTTTAATGCATGGAGGTAAGGCAGATGAGCTTACAGCCTGCAAATTCTTGGTTGAGAGAAGTTCAGGACTGGCAGTTCAATACTCCACGGTTTAGATGTTTCAGGTGTGATGGAGAGGAATGTAAGAAGAGTGGGGGAGTCATACAGCATGGAAACAGACCCTTCAAACCAACTCGTTTAGCTTCCCAAACTGAACTAGTCTCATTTGTCTGTGTTTTGCCCATATCGCTCTAAACATTTCCTGTTTATGTACCTGGCCAAATATATTTTAAATGTTGTAACTGTACCTGCATCTATCACTTCCTCTGGCAGTTCATTCCACACAGGAACATTCACTGTGGCCTCTCACGTCCCTTTTAAATCTTTCTCCTCTCACCTTAAAAATATACCCTCTAGTTTTGAACTTTCCTACCCTACAGAGAAGGTGGTTAGCACTGCTCCCTCATAACACCAGGCACCTGTCATCAATTCCAGCCTCGGGCAACTGGTCTATGTGGACTATGCATATTCTCCTCATTTCTGCGTGGGTTTCCTCCAGGCGCTCTAGTTTCCTCCCACAGTCACAGAAAAGTACATTATCTTTTAAAGGGACCATGCACTGCCATCCCCCCTATCATTTTTACAAACATCCATATTTTACAAACACCAAATTCTAACACCTGCCTTCCAATCCACAAGTACTCTACCCAACTTTGTGACACTAATTACTACATTACTAGGCAGGAACTGGAGAAATTAGATTGGGGTGTCTGTTTGAGATATGTGGGAGTTTTTTAAAAGACCAGCTGATCAGAGTTCAGCACCTGCATGTTCGTGTAAGGATGAAGTATAAGGATGGCAAGATTCAAGAACCCCGAATGACAAAAGATGTTGAAAATTTAATAAAAAAAAAGAAAAATGGTGAATATGTAATGTTGGGAAACTGAAATCAGGCAAGACTCTTGAGAAATATAAAAGGAAGCAGTTGACAAGTCATGTTTCAGCCTTATAAAACTTTACTCAGGCCACATTTGGAGTAGTGTGTGCAGTCCTGGTCACCACACTATAGGGAGTATGCGGGGATGAGGGGTGCAAAAGAGGCTCACCAGGATGTTGTCTGGATTGGGATGTATTAACTACAAGGAGAAGTTGGACAAACTTAGATAATTTTCACTACAGTGTCAGAGGCTGAGGGGCAATCTGATAGAAGTATATGAAATTATGAGAGGCATGGATAGGCTGGATAGTCAATATTTTTCCTAGGGCAGAACTGTCAGATACTAGGGACTTAGGTTTAAGATGAATGAAAGACAGTTTAAAGGAGATGTGCGAGGCATGTTTTTTTATGCAGAGGGTGGCAGGTGCCTGGAAGCACTGGCAGGAAAGGTGATAGAAACAGATATGAGAGCAAAGTCTAAGAGGTATTTGGACAGACACACATGGAATCAGAAAATTTTCTTGTATACACTTAACAAATTCCTCTCCATCCAAGCCCTTAACACAATGACAGTTCCAGTCTATGGTTGGAAAGTTAAAGTCCCCTACCATGACTACCCTATTATTCTCACAGGTAACCAAGATTTCCTTACAAATTTATTTCGCAATTTCCCACTGACTACTGGGGGTCTATAGTACAATCCCAATAAGGTGATTGGGAGACAGTACACCGACATTCATTTCAAACCCACTGACTCCCACATGTACCTCAACTACAGCTCATTTCACCCACCCTCCTGCAAAAACGCTATCCCATACTCTCATTTCCTCCGCCTCCACTGCATCTGCTCCCAGGATGAGGCGTTCTACTCCAGGACATCCCAGATATCCTCCTACTTTAGGGGCTGTAGTTTCCCCTCCTCTGTAATTAAGGATGCCCTCAACTACATCTACTACATCTGCTCCATCTCCCACACATCTGCCCTCAAACCCCCTCCACCCAACAACAATAAGGACAGAGTCCCGTTAGTCGTCACATACCACCCCACTAGCCTCCAAATCCAACGCATCATTCTCCAACATTTCCACCACCTACAATCAGACCCCATCAGCAAAAAGATGTTTCCTTCCACACCCCTGTCCGCTTTCCACAGGGTCAGTTCATTCCGCGACTCCCTCATCAGCTCTGCACTTCTCCACACACCCAGTTCCTTTTCCTGCAACCGCAAGATGTGCAACACCTGCCCAGAGGTGCAACACCTGCCTCTACACCTCCCCTCTCACCTCCATCGAAGACCCCAAACAAACCTTGCCAATCTGGCAGAGATTCACCTGCATTTCATTCAACCTGATCTATTGTATCCGTTGCTTCTGATGTGGTCTCCTCTACATCAGGGAGATCAAACACAGAATCAGGGTCTGGTTCGTGGAGCATCTGCATTCTGTATGCATGAACCAACTCGACCTTCCTGTTGCCATCCATTTTAACTCCCCCTCCCACTTCCCTGACAACATATCCATCCTTGGCCTCCTTCACTGTCAGAATGAGGCCAAACGTAAACTGGAGGAACAACACCTGATATTTCATCTTGGGAGCTTACAGCCAATTGGCATCAATATTGACTTCACCAGCTTCAAAATCCTCCCAACCCCAGCCTTATTCCATGTCTCGCCCCTCCCCTCCTGACCTGACCGAACTTGTCCATCTTCCTACTCACCTATCCGCTCCACCCTTCCCACTGACCAATCACAATAACCCCCTACCTGCATCCATCTATCACCATCCCACCTACCCTTCTCCAGCCCCACCTCCTCCCTCTATTTACATCTGGGTTGCCCTCCCTCTCCCCAGTCCTGACGAAGGGTTTTGGCCCAAAATGTTAACTTTCCTGCTCCTCAGATACTGTCTAACCTGCTGTGCTTTTCTAGCTTCACACCTATTGACCCAAATAAGGTGATCACCCCTTTCTCATTTCTCAGTTCCACCCAAGTAACTTCCCTGGACATATTCCCAGAAATATCCTCCCTAAATACAGCCATAGTGTTATCCCTAAGCAAAAACACCACTTCCCCACCCCACCTCTCTTGTCCTCCTTTCTATCCTTCCTATAGCATCTATACCCTTATTGAACAATGGAGTAGACTCAATGGGCTGAATGGCCTAATTCTGCTCCTACATCTTACGGTCTTACAACGAAGGGACACAATGCCAACAAGTTCCATCTCTCAAATGAAAGATTAAACGGACATCTGCTCCCTCAGGTGGATACATAAATGATCCCACAGCACTACCTTGTCAAAAAAGAAGCAAGGACTTCTACCTGGTATCTCGGTCAATATTTTTACCTCAAATATGTTCCTCATCCCTCCTAATCCCTGCTGCAGACTTTGGCGCTCTTCCCCCCCACCTTACACTTATTTGCACCCTCCCCTTTCTTCTCTAATTCTCTCACAGCCTCCTCTTTCCCCCACCTTCCCTTGTAGCCTCTCACTGGCAGATGCACTCCCCATCATCTGCTGCAGATTCCATACATGGAATTCCTGAAAGGTAGACCCCCCTCTCAGCATCCCCACCCTCAGCTCCCAGCACACTAACTTACATTTTCCATTCAATCTTATCCTGCCTGCTGCTCTTTCAACCAGACTGATATGATCTACTGTTGAAAAGCAACTATCATAGAACGTCAAAGAATACAGTACAGGAACAGGACCTTCAGTCCATGATGTTGTGCTGAACATGGCACCAAATTAAACTAATCCCTTCTGCTTGCCCTTGGTCCACATCCCACCATTCCTTGCATATTCATGTGCTTATCTAAAAGTCCCTTAAACGCCCCTGTCTTATCTGCCTTCACCACCACACCTGGCAGTGCACTCCGGATTCCTGCCACACACTGTCCAAAAAACTTGCCCCTCACATCTCCTTTGAACTTTCCCCCTCTCACCTTAAATGCATGCCCTCTAGTATTACACATTTCAACTCTGAGAAAAAGATTCTGACTTCAATGCTATCTATGCATCTCATAATTTTACAGACCTCTAGCAAGTCTCCCCTCAACCTCCACCGCTCCAGAGAAAACAACCTGAGTTTTTCTAGCCTTTCCTTATAGCTCATACCCTCTAATCCAGGCAGCATCCTGGTAAATCTCTTCTGCACTCTCTCCAAAGCCTCCACATCCTTCCTGGCGACCAGAACTGAACACAATACTTTAAGCCCGGTCTAACCAAAGTTTTATAAAGCTGCAACATGATGACCTGACCCTTGTACTGAATTCTCCAACCAATAAAGGCGAGCATGCCATACCCCTTCTTTACCAACCCCTCTACTTTTGTGGCCACTTTCAGGGAGCTATGGACTTGAACCCAGGATCCCTCTGTACATCAATACTGTTCAGGGTCCTGCCATTAACTGTATTCTTTTCCTTAACATTTAATCTCCCAAAGTGCAGCATCTCACATTTACCCGGATTAAACTCCATCTGTCACATCTCGCTGTATCCTTTGACAACCTTCTATACTGCCCACAACTCCACCGATCTTTGTGTCATCTGCAAACTTAGTATCCCACCCATCTACATTTTCATCCAACTATCAAATTGTGATATTTATGTTAGCTCCCATAACACAAAAATGAGACGTGGGTACATAGTACTGAAGAAATCTATTAAGTTTTGTTACAGCTCCTGGTATCTGTACACACATACACATAAACAGACACACATAACAACCATAGGCAGTTGAGTGTCTGAGCTCAAGCTAAGCAATTAGGATGTAAACTGCAGCATGTATCCTTCAGTATGGTATGCTGGAAGAAGACAAAACTCAAACAGGTAGAGAATGAGTTTTTTTAACACCATCAGGTCACATGCTATGATATCATGAATGTACAACGATCACCGCCCTTAAAGCTATATTGTATACTGGCTGTGAGACAGAACACAACTTGGACTGCTTCAGCTCCACAGTTACTGATGGAAGATTCAGCAGCAAAAGCAAATGAGACACAGCATGTGACCGGAGGTGCAACTGCTCCGAGATCGTGTCCATTCTGTTTAGGGAGATGACCTTCTTTGGTTGGTAGTTTCCATGATGGAATTAACTTGGACGTTGTGCAGTTTTTGGGGTGAAATGCCCTGCCACCCACTATTTTGATTGCAACATTGGATGGTTAATGTGAACCAGTATCACTTGTTTCCCTAAGATGACAGATTGAGTACAATACTGAAGTTTAGTGAAACATCCTGACACTGCAATTCCATTTACAATGAGATGGCTGTATCATACTTACTGCCCCTTTGATAGCAGCTTCAATGGATGTTTTGGGCATGTTCTTGGCTCGACACTGCTCAATGACATTGGCCAGCTGCGTGTTAAACTCAGGGTTTGAGCCTCCTTCTGCAAAGAAAATCACAGCAAAGCTGATCTGTACACAGGGTCTTCAATACGACAATTGTAATGATATTAGCTCATTATCTTGAGTCAATACCGCATGTTCAACTGAGTAAAATATCTTAGAATCAAATGGTTTTCAACATACTTTTAATTTTTAAGAAATATTTGAGATCAAACATTAGCTCTAATCTACTCCTGCCATTTCCACCATCCGTGTATCACTTCCCATCTGATTCCAATCCTTTATGCATTATTCTCTACCACAAAGCAACAGCCTTTACTCAGCTTAGTCCTTGGAATTCCAGTCCTAAGTTCCCACAGCTCTCTCGCTTTTCAACTTTAAGGACATTTCTTCAACCAAGCTTCCAATCTTACCCCTGTAGCTCTCTTGTTCTAGCATGCTTTCCTCACACTGGACCGCCTTGCTTCAATTATCCATTCACATGAATGGCATTACATGAATACACCTGGGCCACTGAATATGAGGTTTTAAAATTGAACTCCAAAGTTTAATATTTGTAGCAAGAATGCTGACGATCTCATGACAAGGTTGCGTGGGATGAATGTGGGGTTGGGGTTGGGGTTGGGGTTGGGGTTGGGGTTGGGTATGGGGTGGGTATTTGGATAATCCAGATCTCTCTACATTGTAGTAAAGCACTGGTCACCTTTGACAGACTTTCCAGTGGTGTCACTCTTCTCAGTAAGCTTACAACTGCAAATAAGTCACTGCGTCAATTGTACTTCAGCCGCCAACAGGCAGGAAAAAGAAACTAAAAAACAAATGCAATTGGAATAGAAACGAACAAGGGCTGTGGTTATTGTACCCATATTACCTCTCACTGCAAAGCGAAGCATTATTGACAACTTAGCAAACATCCGACTCCTCTCAGCGTCCTTTGGCCCTTTGATGTGCTTCACCTTTGACCATTTGTTGTGCCCTGCGGAATTAGCTGCAGACGTGTGGATCTCAGCACATTGTGAAAAGGAACAATGCTGGCCGCTTGCCTGGTTGGACGAGGGAATAGACACTGATAATAAAACTCTGGGCTTTGGCAGCAACTTGGCTGACCACCGTAGTGAGAATAGGAGACATCTTCTGTTCCATGAGCAAACACTTTGAAATGCAGCAACTGTAGCCATAGCTTGGGTCCTGTCAATCACCTGTAAAAGTGAAGGTGAAACTGCTATACTGAACACAGTAAAACGTTTACTATTCTGGAAAAACCATAAATACAAACAATTTATTGCTCTCATGAAGGTCACTCAGCCCAACTGTTCATATTTCTGCTCTAACACAAGACTCTTCCACCTTCCTCATCTAACCCCATCAATGTATCTTCTCTCATGTGCATCGATACTAAGCACCTGAGCTGCACCCTGCAATAGTGATTTCCACATTCTCACCACTTTCTGAACAAAGTTAATATATCTAATAAAAAAAATTCTATGTTATCCTCCAGGCTCCTTTTTTTGGACTCCCTACAAGTGGAAATATTTTATCTGTGCCTACCCAATCATATCTTTAATTAATTTAAATTCCTGCTTTTCAGTCTCTTTTGTCTTTCCTGTTAGGTATAGCCTACATTATGGCATCTGCCTTGTAATTTTGTTTTGCACCTTCAACGGTCCCTCCACATGCTTTCTGAAGACTAGAACTCTGCACACTACTCTATGATCCAACTAAGTTTAACATAATATTCTTGTTTTCAATTCTGTTCTTCTAGGAAGGCATCTAGGCATTTTTATAGACCTTCAACTTGTGTTATCACAAATCAGTGAATGTAGCAAAGTGGAGAGCGGCAGAAATATTTTGGCATAGATGGATGATGGATGAAGCAAAGTGCATGCAGGCTCCAGTGGGTATGTGAGGATATCTGTATCCCAGACTGTTTTGATCATCTCAACTCATTTTGTGCCGTACTTTCTGAATTCTCATCCTTGATTTTAAATCCCTCACTATCTCCAATCTCCCTCAGTCCCACAACCCTCCAGGATATCTGCACTCATCCAATTTCAGAAATTTGTACATTAACAATTGTAATTGCTCAACCATCAATAAACGTTTTTAAAAGTTGTTTCGGCCTCAAACTCTGAAATACCACTCCACACATTTATCCGCTCCCTCCTGCCTTTCCTTTCCTTAAAGCCTACCTCTTTGACCAAACGTTTAGCCACCTGGCTTAGTATCTGCTATGCAACTCAGTGTCATAGTTGCTGTGAGGTGCCTTTTTAACATCCCAGATTTTAAACATTCCACCATTGGCAAGGCTGCAAATCATTTGACTCCATCTGCAATTTTCTAACTAAACCTGTCTCTCCACATTTCTTTTCTTTATGATACTCAATTGAAATATATTTTTAACCAAACCTTTCAGACCCTGACCTAATAACTCCTAATATTGTACAATTCAAATTTTATTGGACAACACTTCTGTGAAGTATCTTTGGACTTTTTAACTACATAAGGACACAAAATAAATCAAGTTGCTGTTGCTGCAGTATCAGAGCTGTTGTTTATCAGTTGAGGTGCTAAACTGAAGCCGCAGCAGCCCTATTTCAGAGCACTGGTGTTCTCTCTGGTGCCTTGACCAATAGTTCACCTCGACCCAATCACTTAAAGCACAGTACCCAACCAAATGAAATGAGGGACACTTCAACTGTGGCAGGGTAGTGTGGGCAATACCAAGGGGTTGGCAGTGAGACTGCTGGTGCTAGTGAAAGGAGGAGGAGGTCCTGAGCAAGAATCCACTCAATGAAGAAAATCAAGTGTCATTCAAACCAGCCATCCTCAAGTTAGGTGCTCTCTGGCAGTTAAAGGTGGCCTATAAAGGAGCATTGTTCAGCTTTGCAAATCACAAAGGTGCATTTCAGGCAGTCTCCCTGTTTGTTGGCAATCAAACTGTGATAAAACTGGATAAATGGCATCCTGGAAAGATGAAAAAAGGGAGAATGCAAGAAATTTTGGCACGGTGGTTCAGTAGTTAGCACTGCTGCCTCACAGCGCCAGGGACCCAGGTTCAATTCCAGCCTCGGGTGACTGTCTGTGTGGATTTTGCACATTCTCCCCATGTCTGTGTGGGTTTCCTCTGGGTGCTCCAGTTTCCTCCCACAGTCCAAAGATGTGCAGGCTAAGTGGATTGGCTATGCTAAATTGCCCCATAGTGCCCAGGGATGTTTAGGTTTGGTGGGGTAGACATGGGAAATATAGGGGAATGGGTTTGGGTGGGATGCTCTTCGGAGGGGCAGTGTGGACTTGTCGGGCCGAATGGCCTGTTTCCAAGTACAATCCTCTTAAACACAACAAATGGTTGGCCACCCCCTTCCAATGGGTAATCTGGACAGATATTACACGGTTTGTGGGAACCTGCTGTGTCCACAGAGGCTATGACACCCCCTCGCCCTCGCCCTCGCCCTCTCCGACACCCCCTCGCCCTCGCCCTC